ACTGGCAAGCTGAATCCAGCAACATACTGAAAAAACTATACAACATGACCAAATGGAATCTTTCCTTGGAATATATGACAAGGACAACATGTAAAAATCAATCAATGTAAGAATTCAGAGTTCACAAATAAATGTGTATGTTTACAGTCAACTGATCTTCAACAAGGGTGCCAAGAATACACAATGAAGAGAGGGTGCTCTGTTCAACAAATGGTGGTGGGAAAACTGGATATCCACCAGTATAGGAATGAAACTGGCTGGGCATGGTGGCACACTAGCTACTTGAGACTGAGGTAAACAACTTAAATGTCTATTTGTTTTGTTTTGAGACAGGGTCTCACTATGTAGCCCAGGATGGCTTAGAACTCATGTTGATACTCCTGCCTCAGCCTCCTGAGTGCTGGGATTACAGGTGTGCACCACTATGCCCAGCAGCCATCAGGTTTTTTTTTTTCTTTTGGTACTGGGGATCAAACTTGGGACCGTGTGCTTGCAAGGCAGGCGGCAGCACCACTGAACTAAATCCCCAGCCCCAGCCATCAGTTTTTTTAATGCTAAACTTTGTACCTTATTCATTCATAGATCTAGTACCTAGCTCAGTGCCTGGTATATGGCATGCTACAAAGGCTGAATCAACTCACTGAAACCTGTAATTTGTGGTCAAATTACAGCTATCAAATGGCAATGGAATCACATCTCAGCACCATTTTTTGACAAAACACAATAAAGATTCTTCTGCACTAAGACATTCCCATAGGCTTGAACCAGCAGTGGTACATGCAAGACTGTCTCATCAATCAGCTTGTACCACTGGTATAGAAGTGGTACAGTCATGTACACACTGTCAAACTACCTAGCACTGAGACATACAAATTACGGCCCCATCATGATCATATTAACAGAAGTTAGAAAACTACCACAAATGTCATAATGGACCCAACTGGATGAGCTGTTCAACATTAGATATAATATTTATATTCTTCAGAAACAGACCCTAATATGACAGTGAAGTCCTAGACAGAGGACTCACTCAACTCCTTACCTCCGAAGATATACAGTCTCATCATCTTCAATGTTACAAAACTTGTGGGCATGTTTGGCAGCATCAATCACACGGGATCTGTCCCGGGGTCTCATGGGCAACCTCTCTAACTGACAATCTGAAGGAATGGAGAAAGACTGGGTTACTTGAGCTAATCAGAAGTTTTCAGTGGGGCCTTAACACTGTAACTTTCTACTATAACTACCATGTCTTTAAAACCTATTATCAGGCTGGGGATTTTAGCTCAGTGGTTTAGCCCCTGCCTCGCAAGCACAAGGACCCAAGTTCAATCCCTGGTACCAAAATAATAATAATAATTAAAAAAAAATAAAACATATTATCAAATTTCCCAACTGAAAATGACTTGATGTCAGAACACTGTGGTTTTGGTTCCAGCTGTTATTTCCCTGCTCATCTTTGGCAAATCACTTCCTTCTTCAGGGGCTTTTTCCTCACTTGAAAGATGAGTGGGACATATTATCTCAAAAGAACTTTCCAGCACTGCAATTCAGGTTTCTTGAGTACAGTACCTCTGTGATAGCACAATTGGACCAAATATCCTGGAAAGCCTATGAGGAAGGCAATGAGAAATGTGAGTGTTAGGAAAAGGAGATAGAGTAGATGATATAAATATGTAGTATGCAAATGAGCCATCCTAGTTTTAATCTGCAAACAAAGAATGCACATGAAATAAAATCAGGTACAAGCCAGGTGTGGTGGTACATACCTGTAATCATAGCATGCAAGAGGCTGAGGCCAGAAGATCACTGTTCTAGGTCAGTTTAGGCTACATAGTGAGTTCAAAGTCAGCCCGAACTACAAAGCAAAACCCCCATCTCAAAACATGCCCCTCTCCCCAAAAAAATCAAGTACAGTTATAAAGTGGATAGAAAACTGATACAAATCAATGAAGTACCTTAAGAATCATGGAGAAGGGAAAAGGGTCAGAGTGATTCGAGATTAACGTAGAAGCTGGGGAAGGGAAGAGCTAGAGAACACTAGGCAGTTTACACACTAGCCCATGTACTATTCCCAGTGAGACACTGAATGAATAGCAGTACTCCTGACTGTAACATGGGATACTATAAGAGGAAAAATTGGAGAACAGGGAGCAAGTGATCATGATTCAATTTTTAAAAGACAGACGTGAGAAGCCCATTAGATATCCAAGTAGAGATGATGAAAATGCATGTGGGAGGAGGAATCGAAAGTTAGGGAACAAAATGTGTTGTGTAAATGTACTGACTCTCCACAAAAATATGTAATCACCATGAAATGCAAATATGTACTAATAAAAAAGTAAATTTTTTGCTGTGGAAAAAAGGCACATGGGAGTCATCAATGACTAGATGGTATTTAAAGCTAGAGGATAGCTAATCACCTACAGAATGAAAACAGGTGAGAATATTAAGCTCTAGGGCCTTGAAATGCCTAAAAGTCTGAGAGTGAGAAAGGAGACACTTCAGAAGGGGCCAAAATTGAGGAAGGTGAAAAATCAGGAATGCGTGGAATCCTGCAGCAAATGAATATGTCGCAAGAAAAATGGGACTGGGGGGTATGGCTCAATGGTAGAGAGCTTCCCTAGCATGCCCTAGGCCCTGGGTTGGGGGGGGTGCCGGGTCACCTCTTTGAAATGCCACTAAGAGAGAGATTACAATGAACACTGATAGTTGGCCATTGGAACTGGTCATATGGAGGTCAATCAGTAACCTTGACAAATACGGTTTAGTGCGGTGGGGAAAGTCTACCGGAAGTAGGTCAAGAAGCAGACAATAACAATTTTTTTTAAGTTTTGCTATAAAATCAAAGATATGGGCTGAAAGCTGGAGGGAGGACTGGGGATGAAGCTCAGTGATAGAACGCTTGTCTGGCATGCACAAGACCAGGAGTATAATCCCCAGGTACTACCAAATGCACACACATGCACACACACACACACACACACACACACACGCTCACGTGCGCATGATATAGAAAATGTAAGATATAGAAAAATGTAAGCTCAAAGGAAGATTTTACTTTCATTCATGCTAAAATGAGCGTTATTACATGATCTTTGTATCCAGCAGACCAGTTATAAAGTACTGAGGCAGTAGTTTTGAACAGTGTATAGAGAGGGAAGTTAGTGTATTTTTCTTCTCTGAAAGGGTGTAGTTTTGAGGTAAGTATAGATTAAAAAGTCACAAGGTTACGTAGAAAACGGGGAAATGCCATGGAGGGGAGCGGGATTATATAGGAAGACTGTGACGGAAAGTAAAAAAGCAAAAATATTCAATAAGCAGTACGTCCCAGAACACAGCCAAAGGAAATTCGCCCTCGAGGACCCGAAGTCTCAGTCCCGTCCTCCCTCCAGTTCCCGACTACTAACCCAGAACCAGGACCATCTGGCGGCACAAACAGTAGTAGACGTGGGGAGGCTTCTCGCCGTTGCCATATTCCTCACGATCCCAGATGTTTGAGCAGAACACCGACCGAGAGACTACTTTAGGCATCGACCCGGTGAGCAACCAAAGTACCTCACGACAAAAGAGACGCTCACAAGTGACGTCACAAACCCGCGTCGCACCTTTCACTTGAGAGACTCAGTCACGTGGCGGTGGCTTCTGAACTTCCGGGCTGTCCCATCAGGCTATGAGGCACGGGAGCCTCCTTGAGCCGCCAAGAACCTCCTTTTCCTAGGCTAAATTAGCAGGGACTGCTTTAGTTGTGACACCCTCAGTGTCATTTATATTATTTACATAGTCGTGAATAGTTATACATAAATGTACATATATGTATATATAAACCTCATATAAGACTGTACATTACACATGCATAATACAGATTTTAAGTATGGCTATAAATATGATTTTATTTTTTGCGGTACTGGGGATTGAACCAGGATTTTAGCACTAAGCTACATCCCCAGTCCCCGCCCCCTTGTTTTGGAGATTAGTTCTTGCTAAATATCTAAACTGTCCATTTATCCAGGTTAGGCTCGAACTTGCAGTCCTCCTGTCTCAGTCTCCCATAAGTCTAAGATTACAGGTATGCACGACCACACCCAATTTTTATTTTAATAGCAGTATTCAGAATAAGTACCTCACGAAGTACAGGCATTTTCCTTTAGTTTCCTAAAGGCATAACTCACATAAAATTCACCCTTATATAATGTAGAATTTCAGTATTAGGATGTTCACTAAGTTGTGTAACCATCACCATTATCTAATTCTAGAACATTTTCATCATCTCAAAAACAAATCCATAATCCATTAGTAGTCACTCTCTGCCTCCTTCTCAGCGGTTGGCAGCTACTAACCAACCTACTTTCAATCTCTGTAGATTTGCCTTTGCTAGACATTTTGTATAAGCAGTACTGTACAAAATGTGGTCATTTGTGTGGCTTTTTTCTTAACATGTTTTCAAGGTTCATCCATATTGTAATACTTCTTCACTGTATGGATATACTATGGTTTATCCATTTTAATGAATGTTCATATGTTCATTAATTAATCAGTGTTGGCCTTGTTACCCACCACTTATGGCTTTTACAGCTAATTTTGCTATGAGCATTCATATATAAATTTTTGTGAGGGAAACTGTTTTCGTTTCTTTGAGGTATATACCTAGGAGTGGAATTGCTGGGTCAGATGATAAGTCTATGTTTAATCTTTTGAGGAATGGTTAGAGTGCTTGCAAAGCAGCTGCACAATTTTACATTCTCCCTAGCAATATATGAGCGTTCTGATTTCTCCATACTCTTGCCAATAATTGTTATTATTATTGTTACTGTTATTGTTATTGCCATGCTGGTGAGTATGAAGTGGTATTTTATTGTGGCTTTTGTTTGCATTTCCCTATCGATTAATGATGCTGAACATCTTTTCATGCATTTGTTGCCCATTTATTTTATTTTTTTGGAGGAACATCTTTTCAAATCTTTTGCAAATTTTAAGTTATGATATTTGTCATTTTACTGTTGAATTGTAAGAGTTCTCTATATATACTGGATACTACACCCTAATCTTGGGCCAGGGATTTAGCTCAGTGGTGCTGACACCTGCCTTGCAGGCACAAGGTCCTGAACTCAAATTCAATCCCCAGTACAAAAAAAAAAAAAAAAAGAAAAAAAGAAAGAAAGAAAGAAAAAGAAAATCCTAATCTTGTAAGTTATTTTCAGTAAAGAAATCTTTGTGCACGAAGTACAAAGGAATGTCTTCCACTCTTCATTCTCCAGCTCAGAAACTCTGTCAGGATTGACAACTTAAAGTAGTCCACCAGTTGAATGAACATGAATTTAGAAGACTATTCTTTTTGTTTTGACTTTTGTAGTGCAGTCAATCAAACCTAGAGTCTTGCACGCCCTAGGAAAGCACTACACCCTCAGCTTTTGACATGTCCTTGCATTGCAGATTAATCACTTCTGAATGAAGTTCAACTGTACAGTTAAATAAATTTTGAAATATATAAATTTCCTGTGCATTTACATCAATATCTGAAAAATGCTACTGGAACTGTAATTCAGTGTGAAATTCCAGTAATATACTCAACTGCAAATTTGTGTAGGAATGCAAATCTTGATTTTTGCTTTAACATTTTTTTGGTGCCTGGGGTTGAACCTGGGCCCTTTGCTTGCAAGGCAGGCGGCAGAACCACTGAGTCAAATCCCTGGCCCTCTGTTTTAACTTTCGACAGCACAAGAAATAATTACAGTTGGTTGACATAGCTTGTAATTCAATGTTACTTGTTAAATTGAATGACTTCACTGCAGTATAAGAGTCATATTTGGACTCTTTTACCTTCTAATTTTATATAAAATCATTAAGAAACATTATCATGTCCATAGCAAAAGCTGTTCCCAAAACCATTTGGTGTTCTAAATAAATAGTTGAAGGTGATTGTTATTCAAAAAAGTTTTGATCCCAGTCCTGAGCTCAAAGAAATTTCAATAAATTTTACCACTGTTAAGATATTGAACTACTATTGGTAGGACAATTAAAACATATTCAACTTTATTATTTCGGTTTAGAGGGTTGTTTTGTTTTTTGTTTTGCTGTTTTGAGATAGGGTCTCACTGTGTAGTTCAGACTGTCCTCGAACTCGCAGCAATCCTCATTCTCCTGCCTCAGCCTTCCAAGTGCTGGGCTAAGAGGCACACACCACCACACCTGGCTTCTCAACTTCTACTTATAACAAATTCACAGAACTGACAGTGGTTCAGTCCATGAGAGCGAATGAAGCTCACTGTTGACACTACTCATTCAAAAACAGAGGATAGAGCCAGGCGTGGTGGTGCCACCGTAATCCCAGCACTCTTGGACATTGAGGCAGGAGGATCATAAATTCAAACCCAGGCTTGCTGACTTAGTAAGACCCTGCCTCAAAATAAATAATAAAAAAATTTTAGAAGGCCCTGAGGCAAATCCCTACTACTGCAGGGAAAAAAAGAAAGAAATTTTTTAAATAACACAAGATGTTACTTTATTTTTTTTCATTGAGTTTATTGGTACATTTTAGGTATACAGTATAGTTACACTCATCATTGGGATCTTGTACCTTTACACGACAGGTCTTGGTTCTCATTTTTTCCCCATATCCCTACCCCCCCTTCACCCTCTCCTCCCTTCCCTGTTTACAAAGACTTTGTTTCCATTACAAGATATTATTTTAATTATTTTCCTGCAAGGGACCTGCTGCTTAATAATATAACAAATAGCGAAGTAGCTTAAATGATCTCCATCCCACAACTATGTGCATTTGTCCAAGTAGGCCTTTTTCTGCTCCATACATACTTGTAATGCATCTTAGCAGATTTTGCCTCAGACTGTATTCAGGGCTTTCTTGATTTCTGATCTGCAGTTGTTTCACACCGACTGTACATACAGCCCAACTCTTCAGTCATTTGAAATTCAGCATTGACTCCTTGGGTAAACAACTGAGCAGTATAGGTTATATCCAACAGCTCATTGAATGCCCTCCAAATCCACTTGAAGTTATTTTCCTCGTTTGGGTTTTGTTTTAGTTTAGTGAGAGGGGGTTAGTGTCAGGGATTGAACCCAGGGCTTGGCATGCTAAGCACGTACTTTACCACTGAGCTGCAGCCCTAGCTCTGGCCTTATTTTTAAATTGCCTATTGATCTTGCTTCCAGTGTCTTCAACTCTTTGTGCCACAGTTCCTGCTGAAGGGCTAATAGTCTGAAACAAGTTTGTCTTCCTCGAGCATATTTCTTTGACTTCTGCAACCAAACATGATTTAATGAACTCACTAGCAGTAAATGGCTTTCCTTGCTTAGCTAACAAATGGGCCACTCAGAGTTACTTTGATGGCAGCCTTATCTTCAATTTTTTATTTTCTTGAAGAATATTGCTATGATGATATTCTATTTTAGTAAATTTTCTCTCTTACTCTTTCTTTTTTTCTCATTAAGTTTATTGGTACATTTTAGGCATACAGTACAGTTACATTCATCATTGGGATCTTGTACCTCTACATGACAGATCTTGGTTCTCATTTTTCCCCTTGCCCCTACCCTCCCTTCACTCACTCCTCCCCTCCCCCTTTACAAACACTTCATTTCCATTTTTTCATATTTTTTTATTTTCCCTCATTTCCTTTCCCCTACCCTTCCCACTTCCCCTACACCTTTAGCCCTTTTCTTCCTATTTCACACTGTCAATTATACCATTAGGATCTTTTGTACTGTTATAGTTTTTCACACCAGAGATTTGGTATTTACACATGTGTGACTTATTTATTTCATTTAAGAGTATATCCTCAATATTTGTCTTTTTTAAAATTTCTAGTTGTTTCAACCAATGCTCTCCTCTGAGTTGAGAATATCGTGATGAATACAAAATCTTGATTCAGCAATTCAGGGAGTAGTGAATCCTGCTTTCAAGGAACTAATTCCTGGTTTGTCTAAAGTTGGATACCCGCCTCATATCCTAGTGCCTGTAGGTTGGTAACAAACTGCTACTTGTATCAAGAAGAGCAAGCCCTGAGAACTGTTGTTTCCTACAACTGGCTCTCTGAATTTATCTTCTGAGATTATTGGAGTCGAGAAAGACCTTTTGATTTTATTTCCTTCTGTTGTTGATTGGCATTAGGACATAAACTGAATACGGTGACCATCTTCTCCAGAGTCTGAGGCAGAAGGATCACAAGTTTGAGGCCAGCCTGGGAAACTTAAAATTTTTAAAGAGCCGGGAAGTAACTCAATGAGCATTTGCCTAACCTGTACAAGATCCTGGGTTCATTCCCCAGTACTACAAGGAGAGTGGGGGAGAGGAGGAGAGAGGAAGAGGGAGAGCGGGGAAGCAGAGGGAAGGGGAAGAGAAAGGGAAGGGAAAGAAGATAGGTAGGTAGCTCTTCTGGCTTCACTAGATAATAAAAATACAAAGTCACATCCTTATAGTGTGAGAGATGATAGTTTATTTGATATCTTCCCTTGACCCAAAATAGTTCAGGAAAATCAAAATCTACTCTGCATGATGAAATTTTCATGAGTAAACTTCCATAATTTCCTCATGATATAGTCCCATATTTCACAGTCC